CCTCACTAAATAGGTTTTGGTCAAATAGCACATAATCTACGCTTAAATAGTTTTCAACTACAATTTTTAAAAACTATATATTAAATTTTAATCGCATGAAAGCTTCACATATTTTGAAATCAATATTCCGTTATCCAAAAAGGCATGCTACCGTTTTAAATGGCTAGTGCTAGATCAACTAATTTTGTTTTAGTTTCACGTTATGTCCCCACATATCCATATGAAAAATGAATCAATGCAAGTTTTCACTATATTTCGTGTGAAATCAAGACCTGCAAACTAAAACGGTATGTTGTTGTTTTAAGCTGTTGATGTCATTTTAGCTAATTATGTGCCTGTTATACTCTATGTTCACTCTTATCCTCATAAATATAAATAAATACAAGTTTTCAGTATATTTGGCCATCACAGTCTATACAAAGTTTACACGATAGTGATCAACATTATTGTTCCTAGAGTAAATTATATTAAATTTCAATACAAATGATGTTAAATAACTCAAATTACATTATACTCTAATTATGAGATAAGAAGCTCAATAAATTAGTTCATTAACCTTTTGAGTCTTCTAATAGGTTTCAAAATATGATCGACTAGTTTTGAAGTGAAATCGAGACTTCTTGACCCTAAATGACATGCTGCCCTTTTTTGGCAGCTGAGTGTTGTTTCAAATAATTTCGTGTTCGTATCAATTTATGTTCACTTATATCCACATGAAAATAGATAATGCAAGTTTTCACGACATCTGATATCACCATCGATACAAAAGTTCACACGATAATGACCAAAATTATTGTTCCGAGAGTAAAACATACTAGACATCACTACGAACGAAGTAAGCAACTCAAATTGCATTATATTTTAATTATCAGATAAGATACTCAACAAATTAACTCCTTTACCTTATGCAAGTCTTCTAAGATGTTTCAAAATATAATCAACTTGTTTTGGAGTGAAATCAAAATTTCTTGACTCAAAATGGTATATTGCCTTTTAAATGGTTAGGTACTGTTTCAACTAATTTCGAGTCCATTTCATTTTGTGTTCTCTCATATTCATATGAAAATGAATGAATGCGATTTTTCATTACATTTGGATGCTATAATAGATACAAAGTTCACACGATAATAACCAACGCCATTGTTTCATAAGTAAACTACGTTAAACTTCATTACGAACAAATGCAAGTAATTTAAATTACATTATATTTCAATTATGAGACAATATACTGAACAATAGCTAGTTTAACTTTTACAAGTCTTTTAAAATATTCCTAAATATGATTAACTAATTTTGAAGTGAAATTGAAACTCTGTAATCTAAAATGAAATTCTACTTTTTAAATGTCTAGATGTCCCTTCAACTAATATCGCATCAATTAGACTTTACTATGAACGAAAGTAAGTGACTCAAATTTTATTATATTCTAATTATGAAATAAGATACTCAACAAATTAACTCGTTTAACTTGTGCAAGTTTTTGAAGATGTTTCAAAATATGATTAACTAGTTTAGAATTGAAATCAATACCTATAGTTTTAAACTATCGTGTGCCTTTCAACTATCGGGTATGTTTGACTTTATCTTCACTCATATCAACATAAAAATGAATGAATGCAAGTTTTCATTATATTCGGACATGACGGTCAATACAAACTTAGCATGATTTCCTCTGAATAAACGACTCTAGACTTTCCTATGGTTGAATGCAAGTCACTCAATTTCATTATATTCCAATTATGGGATAAGAAACTCAACAAATTACCTCGTTTATCTTGTATTTCTATGATGTTTCAAAATATTATCGATTAGTTTTGGAGTGAAATCGAGATCCCATGATCCAAAATGTTTGAATGCTGTTTGAATTCATTTTTCGTCGCTCTCATTTGTTTGAATAACTAAACAAAATATCGTTAGTACAATTGGTGGTCTATTTAATTTTGTAAAATAGAAAAATCAATGTGATTGCAAGAAAAATTGTATATGCTATGTGATCCAACTGTCCGAAATAAATTGCACTAACATTTCTGTTAACATTATCTAAACCCCTCACCAGAAAAAACAGAAACGGGAAAATTGCAGCAACGGTCCTTAATCTTTTCATTTTTTGCAGAATTTATCCTAACCTTCATTTTGTGCCAGCGAAGGTCCCTAACCTTTTATAAATATGCACTTGAGGTCCATTTGGACGGAAACCGTCTAAAACACTGTCAGTTGACCGAGAAAATTCTTAAACTATTTGCTACCGCGACGATTTATTAGATGTTGATACTTTTTTTTACGGTGTTTTGGATGATTTTATTGAATATTGATTCCTTAATTTTTTCGATCAACTAACGACATTTTGGATGGTTTCCGTCTAGATGGACCTCATATGCATATTTATGAAAGGTAATGGACCTTCACTTGCACAAAATGAAAGTTAGGATAAAGTCTATAAAAATTGAAAAGATTAGGGACCGCTACTGCAATTTTTCTCAAAAATTAATCGAGTTTCACAAAGGAAGGCTTCGTTGGACGCCTTCATTTAACTCTTATCTTCAACAAAATAACATAGTCATTTTGCTTTCTATTCTTAAAAAGAAAAGGGATTCTTTTAAGTAGAAGGCATAGGCTCTATAAAAAATCATAAACAAGAAATTACATGTTTAGATATATAAAGAGGGCCATTAGCACATTGCGTCCCTACATTGCACCATTATTATAAATAACGTCTATATCTTTCATTTGTTGACATTTTTACCTTTAATTATACATTTGATTGCGCAAAATATCGTTTTCATCCAACTACTCAATATAAGGTTTTAAAAGGACGATTACTATTTAAATAAAACCAAAAAAAATAAAAATAAAGAACTAATTGCAACTATACTCCTAAATTGTTTTAAAAAAATGTAAACGAATCCCAAATAAAATATTAAAAAATTTATCTTTCTTTTCATTCTTCTTTCTATTCCTCCTCCTCCACCTCCACCAATAATTTGTGTGGACCCAATTTGTTTGCCGTTACTGTTTCAAATCCAATTGGAGATGGATAGCCCATGTGGAACATAGATATTCATCCTTAATTCATAAAACATCTTATCCTTCCCCATCAATACCCGAGTTAATTCTCTTAATGGTCACTGAACTTACGTCGATACTCTTTTATTATTCTATGAAATTTAAAATGTCGAGTTTTGTACACTATATTTATTCAAACGCTGGATGTTACTCATCGACATGACATTAGTTTCAAATCGTTGATAGAATTAGTGATGTAACTAAAGGAATGCACATGTGCCGCCCGTCAAGGTTGTTGTTCGTTAAAAAATGTATACCGCAAGCGCACGAATCGTGTAAAAGTAATAAAATGGACAAATGAGTCCAGATTGTCACAATAATGAAATTTAATTTTAATATATTTTTGTAGAATTTTAAATCATTGTTAAAATTATTAAATTAAAAGTTGGATTTTGCAATATTGTATGTTTCATTGTAAAAATTCAAATTTAATTTTTATTCTGATTTTAATAACAAAACACACGATACATTTGCTTAAATTTCAAATGATAAAAATAACTTAAAATTTTTACAATAATAAGTTAAAATTAAATTTAACTATTGTAGAATTGAGTAATCATTTTTCGTGAGATCGACATCTCGGACTCATTTGTCCACTTTAATGAATAACAGGTCGATGTCATTTTTATAATTTTAGTAGTTAAAATCTTATCACATCAAATTTCAGTTAGCAATTGAATACGTTTTTCAAAGTTTAGTAAACAATCGAATGTGTTTTTTAAAATTTAGTGAGCAATCGGAGACGTGACAATTTGTTAACAGTGTAATGAAGTGCCACGTGTGCATTTCATTAGTCACGTCACTAATTCCGTTAACGGTTTGAAACATATGTTATATCAATAGGTAATGTACAATGTTTAGACAAATTTAGGGCCTGTTCGATAATGATTATGAGAATTAATTTTTTGATCATTAGATAGAAAAGTGGGTCCTACCTGTGAATGAAGAAGTAAAAAATGACGATTGAAATAGTGAAATAATGATCAAAAAATTAATTTTTTGGAGAGAAATTACTACCAAACAGGGGTTTAATGATCAAAATTCGTCATTTTAAACTTAAGTGATCGATCAAAGACACGGACACAAGTTCAGTGCCATTGGGACAATTAACTCGAATAATTGGTAATTTGATATGTCTTATTTCTCCTCGAGGGTTTTTTGGGGAGTTAATATTTTTTAAATTAAAAAAAATATATTTTAATTCAATATTCAGGAGCAAAACCCAAATCTAAACCCTAACCATGACGGATCAATTTCTCATCAGCAAATTTCGGTGGCGGCCTCTCGCTGGCGCCAAAAAAACCGTGACCGCAGCATTTTACCAGCTTCAACATTACCATGCCACCGCTACAACCATTAATACCGACGGAGGAAACACTAACGAGGAAAAAAAGACCAACCAATGGCTCACTCTACCGGCGTTCACTCCCACCGTCGATGGTTCATCCATCGCAAAATTACTCTCCGGCCGGACACCGGACACGAAAGCCAGAACTATTACCAATAACATGACGGCGCTTAAATGGATCCTTAAGTGCTGCCCTCAACTCCCCAGGTCCCTTGTTCACAAGCTCTTTAGACTAAGACAGGTGCATTTTCTCAAACATACACAAACAAACACATACACACATTGAAGCTTGAGCCGAGCAGGTGATCGTTCGCGTCGGCTCATTTGTGAAACGAGCTCAAATCCATGAAGATGCTTGATTGTTGATAATTCAGGAAAAAACCAGTTATTTCTGTATATTAAAAACTAATGCATTTCATGAATTTGATTGACGCATTATCACAACAAAAATAATAAATAATGATAAATGATAATAGAAATGCAATTATAAACTAAGGAAGTGATTAGTATTCATTTTTTAATTTTTTTCAATTGGTGTAAAATAAAATGTATCCAAAATTTATATCAAGATTTGACTTTATTCAATTCTTCAACTCGTGTGCTTGTTCATGAACTAGCCTGCACTGGCAATTGAATGAACTTGCTAGCTAACTCGGCAGTCTGAACTGAGGGGATCTTACATATACATATCAACCCGCATATGTTTAACCTATTTCTTTCCTTTTGCATTTTACATCAGGTTCGAAAAGAATACTTAGCTGAAGAAACTAAGTCATGTCAACTCAAAAGGGTAAAACAGTGATTCATAAATATGATTTTCATGTCATTTATTTATATTGTTATTCAAAAAGGTTTATTTTACCCTCCTTTGATGCAAGCACCATTTTTATGTTCGACAATTTTGTGTTTTTTGAAGGTAGGAGCCAAGGATCTGATGGACATTGGTGATATAATATTCCTTCCAACAACAATTGATGTAAAGTCTCGCTCAACAAAACATGAGAATGAGAACCTTTGTAATGAAGGAATGAAGTTTATCCGTGGCCTTGAATTATTTAAGGTATTAATCTCTGTAAACTGTTTCAGTAGCATATGCTGTCAGATGCTTAGGTTTCTTTAGATTGTGCTACAACTATTTGGAAAGTCTAATTTCCTTGCACACCGTCCAGGATTCAGCAATAATTGTGATCAATAAACCACCTGGAATGCCTGTACAGGTAAATTATAAGTTTGCACTGATCAGTTCGAAACTGCCACTGTTGACATTTTCTTCACGGTTAAAGAAATTTCTGTTTAGGGTGGCATTGGGATAAAGAGAAGTTTAGACGAATTGGCTGCCAAGTATTTGCTATATGACTATACGGAGTCTCCTCGCCTGGTAAGTTCTACAAGTTTTTGATGTAGAAGGGAAAAGAGAAGAGAAAGGAAGAAGACACAGAGAAAAATGTTGAGACAAATTTCTTTATCATTGGATATATAATATCAATTGTCTATTTTATTCAACAATACTAGTTATACTTACGTAACGAAAATAGGAAGTTCCAAAATAGCATAATGGAGAAAATTTTCTTACTCAAAACTAATAATTATTACAAGAAAATAGAAAGTACGTGAAATGTATGTTTAAGATTATACTGCTTTTAGGTCAAGTTGATATTGGCCCAACTAGGTTGCACGTTTGAGATTGGTGGCTACTACCTTCTCCATTGAACCCACATCTTTATGTTGATACGTGCATTTGAATATGCATGTACTATTCCATGCATGTATGAATAATAGATATTTCGCCAAGTTTAATCTAGGAACTGTAAAATGAAATTGCAGTGAAAAATGTTTTATGATAGTTTGATCTTGCACTTATATATTTTTCCATGCAAAATCAATTCTGCTTCCAATTGAATGAATCCTGGAACTGAGCATATATCCTTCATGATTCACAAGCCACAAAGTTCATGAGCTGGTTAAAGTAATATCAGTGATCATACAATTTTCCTATGTTAATATCTTTCACTGCAATTTTTTCTAATTCTCTGTTGGTTGCAATATTTTTTCAGTATTTAATCTTTCGTTGCGTGTATTATTGAGGACAACTTGTTCTGTTTTAGGTTCACAGACTTGATAGAGACAGCAGTGGCATATTAGTGATGGGAAGGACACTATTAAGTGCTACCATTCTGCATTCAATCTTCCGAGAGAAAACTTTTGGAGCATCGGATGATGTGTGTAATTTTCTTTGATCTCTGATTCTTGTTGTGAAGGCTTAACTAACTCCATGTCTGGTTGATCCTTTCATGTCTTAAAGGTTCTTGAGAGTAAAAGATCCTTGCAAAAGCGCTATTGGGCACTTGTTATTGGATCTCCTAGACGTGCTGGAGGATTAATCTCAGTACCATTAGGAAAGGTGCATTTCTTTTTTGTAGTAATCTCTTTTAGAAGAATCGTCAATTTTGGAGTTTTTGCTATGTCGATTGTTATATGTTCTTGCTCCATATATTCTTTCTCCAACTAACTTGTCAAGAGAAGCTTTTCTAATGCCCAAATAATTTCATTTGATAAAAGCTCTAATGCTGACAAGCATTTGAACAATTTAAGAAAATCAGCTTTGTATAAAGGACCAGTTCAGAAAATTCAACATAAGATGAATCTTTTAGTGTTTATCCTTCTAAATCCAAAAAACAATCATATAGAACAGAGTTTATAGATTGTCTTAGAAGGTAGGAGCAGTACTTTTTGGTGGATGTTCCTTTTGACTTTTCAGATGCACCTAAACATTCACATGCATTGGAGGTTTACTACTGAGGCATAACTTGTACTATTTTCAGCCTGAACAACTTGTATCTTCGACTTACTTCTGTTGTTTTTGCAAAAAAATTAGGTGGTGATTGACGATGGAAAGTCTGAGAAGATTACTGTAGTCGACAAATTCCACATGTCAGCACAGCATGCTGTGACAGAATATCGAGTCATTTCATCTTCATCTTGTGGTTCGTTTACAGTGCCTTCAGAAATTTTGTAATATACTGTTCAAGAAGTAAATTCAAAAAATTGTTTCCAAAATTGTCACTATATGCTGCCAGTAATCTAATGTCTTTTTTCAAAGTCATTTCTCCACTACTTTTCAGATGAGTGGCCGAATTATTTTGTTTTCAGGAAAGAGTTATAGGTAGTTTAATTACTTTCCCTAAACTTTTTATTTCCGAATATGTTTGGTTAATTTAATTTTTTTCTTTATTTGAAGTAAAAAAAAAGTTAATAATTTGAAACTCTTAACATTACTGCCGAAATTCGTAACTTCATTTTTTTTCTTTTTATCAATTTGAACCAATAACAGAATTACTTATTTTAAAACCTTTTTTAGTTATTTACTTGACCTCAATAGAACTTGCTCGTTGTTTATAGGTTTCTTGGGGGAGATGGGGTTGTTTCCATTTGTAGTTTGATGCTTTGTTTCTACCGGTTTCTGTTGTTTAATCATAAAAGTTTTATGTTCTTGTTTCCTAATATAGTGATAAAACTGCAGGTTACACATGGCTAGAGTTGTCTCCACTTACTGGAAGAAAGCATCAGGTCTTGATTACTGCTGTATTCACCCATGATTTTAAAGCATCTCATATGGCTTAAGCATGTTAATCTGATTCCTCCTCTTGATTTTTGCTATTATTTGATAGCTGCGTGTTCACTGTGCCGAGGTTTTGGGGACACCAATAGTCGGAGACTACAAGTATGGGTGGCAAGCTCATAAGAAATCAAAACATATCTTCGTTAATTCAGATTGCCAACTGGAAGAGAAAAATTCCAAGGGAAAATCGGATCCTTTTGGCCTCGATTTGGAGAATGGAAGTATCTCTGATAAACATTTTCGTCTTCATCTTCATTGTAAGCAGATGCTGTTGCCGAACATTGCTCAGGTTTTGCGACGTGACAATCCAGATTCGGATTTTGATTCTAAAACTGTAGAAAGCATCACGATAGATGCTGATTTGCCTCCACACATGCAAAGAAGTTGGGACTTGCTGAATTGATATTTTCTTGAACTCTTGTAATTCTAATTGTATCAGATTCCATTTTCCTTGCATATCGTAGAGTTAGTTGGCCATTTTGTCCCCTTAGGCAGGTTACAGCTCGTAAAACAGATTATTTTCCCCAGGTAGCTCGAAATATATGAATCCCATGTTCGGCATAATTAATCTCTCGTTGATATCGTCATGTATGTAGGTATTAGTCACTTGCGAGCGTAGCATTGTATCTACCATTTTTCCAATGTAAGGGCAACATACTGTTTCATATTTCAACATGGACGATGCTACATGCATCGAATTTTTTTACCTATCACTCACAACAGGGGTGGGGATCATATGTAGGCATTTTTAAATTCACGCGGAGCCCGCATGCATTGTGAGAGGGAGACACCATTTGATATTCCGATTCGGTACATATGGAATAATCCTTTTAACATATGTGGCATCAAGAAACTTGGCATTGAGTGTACAGAAATTTGTACCAATGTGTGGAGCTAATTCGAGAAGTGAAAAACATGTTTCCTTGGAGATAAAATCAAGAATCAGTATTTCACACAAAGAACACAGTTTAATCTTCGAGAAATGTTGCCATTCGACAGGTATCATTTATCATTGGATAATGCTATTCATCAAACAACCAAGAGATCAACGTCACTTAATATTTGTGATAGGTAAGCAGAAACACAATGGTTGTACAAAAATGACTCCATCAACCAGTATTTTCAGTTGAGTAACCCCTCCATTCAATGACAATATTTTCAGCCGCCAAAAGACCTAATCAGACCTACTGAAGCTTCCCCATGGCATATCCCTTGTGCATAAAAGAAAGAGAACCAGCTAAGGATCTCATTTAACTATCACGTGTTTAAAGTATCTTACTGGATATCCTTGTGTCATGTTCAGAATATCACTAAGAGAAAGACGAAATATTCAAATGCTAGGCAAAAAAAGAGATGCATAATAGAAAAAAACTAAATGCATAATAGAAAAAAAACTAAGTGTTGAGATACACACGCAGGGGAAAGGACTATGACAATGCCAATTGGATTTAGAAATAAAGTGGTTCACTCCAAAAAGGGCAATACTGCATCACTGGAGAAGAAAAACCACCAAAAGAGAGAAGATCATTTTTAGATACAAATTTTGGCAATTTTTTGTGTGCGTTTTTCCCAGAAAATCAGGAAGCCAGTAATCAGAGAAAATGGGGGCATATAATAAATTCTAAAACCCAAACTATGTTATGTAAGGAATTTTAAACGATCATGTGGGCTTATATGTGTAAATTGTTGTGCATTAAATTAAAAGCTATCGAATTCGGTTGAGTCTATTTAAAGTGATCTAATAAGGTTTCAATTTTGGACCGTTACGCATCCAATTAAAGTGTGGATTTACATATGTGTAGAGATCGGGCCCAATACATCTAATTCTAAGATGGGTCGAATTAGTTCAAAAGGGCATCTTTATATAAATACGGTTATGGTTCCTAGATCATACGTACGTATTATTCATTCCCTCCTACATCCCATTACAGAGAGAAAAAAGGAGATTACGTGTAGATTTGGAAGACAAAATCGAGAAATTCAATCATTGCATTAACTATGTCTGATTCAGATACACTTTCGCTATATTTATGTATTTTTTGATGATTTAACATGAAAGATCCGGTAGTTTAAGATAATAAATTATCCTATAAGTGGTATCAGAGTCTTTTCATGTTGAATCATTGAGAATCAAAGATTTTAATTTGGTTCTTGCAATATTTTGAAGTTTTCAGATTTGACAATTTTGGATCTAGTTTTGTTGAATTTGAAAATTATTCTGTATGTTTTTCTTGGTTATCTTTTCATAATTTTGGATTAGAATTGGTTTGAGGAATTTCTGGTTAAAATATATTTGGAGTACAGATTTTGTAATAAAAAAAAAGGGGGATTTTTTTTTTCCACAGCGAGCAGTGACGCCGCTGTCGTTGCGTGGGCCAGCAGCGCCGGGCGTGCTAGGCCAGCGCTACTCCACTAGGGTGGCGCGCGCGCACACACACACACATTATTATTTGATTTGGGGGTGGAGGCTTCCTCTGTGTGTGTGTGTGTGTGTGTGTGTGTGTGTGTGTGTGTGTGTGTGTGTGTGTATATATATATATATATATATATTATTATTTTTTTTTTTTGTTCTCAGTTTATGTGGATTTGGGGGCGGGGGCTTTCTCTGTAAATTAGATAATTTGAGCCCCTGACTACAATTAGGCTTAGCGTTTTAAAATTAAGATTTCAGTCTCTAATATTTTAAAAGTACATCCAATTTGGGCCTTTAAGTTTTGAATTTAATAATTCAGTCCATAAGGTTTAAAATTAATTAATTCGGACCATTAAAGTTCTGAATTTTATAGGGATGTCAATGAGTCGAATCGAGTCGGTTCACGAGCCAAAACTCGAGGTCGGGTAAACTAAGTGGGTTTTTTTTTCGAGCCCGAGCTTTTGGCTCGGACCTTTAGGCTCACTTTTTTAACCTTTTTGAAAAAAAAAATTAATGGTTGCGACTGCCTCTTAAGGCAGCATTTAGCTGCCTATTTTTTTTTAGGCTCCCGGGCTGGCTCGGGCTCGGCTCGGCCCGTCCTCCCAAAAAGAACCAAGCCTCGAGCCAAGCCGGCTCGGGAAAAGAGCTATGGGCAGTTCGAGCGGACGAGCCGAATTGTCATCCCTAGAATTTTATAATTAAAGCCCTCAAACTTTAATTATTAATTCAAATTGGTCCCCAAAGTTTATAATTAATTCAAATTGACTCCAAAGTTTCAAATTTTCAAAATTTGATCCCTAAAGTTTTGAATTGATCAATTTTTGGCCACTAAAATTTTAAATCTGTTCTAATTGATCCTCTAAAATTTTGAATTCATTAATTATGGTCCCTAAAGTTTCAAGTTTATTGATTTCAACCCCTAAAGTTTGGAATTAATTAATTTTGCCCCCAATAAAGTTTTGAATTATTAATCCTAAGTCCCTTAAATTTTAAAACTAAGTCAAATATGCAAAATTGGTAATTCTTTTTTCTCAAATCTTGGTACTAAGGACTCTTTTTTAGGAGATATAATATTCGAAAGTTGGTTAATTGAAGCAACATGTTGCCAAAGCAATCTCTCTTGTGAAAATTGACTAACTTAGAATATTAAAATGTGTTTGTACATGTGTTAGTCGTGAAAATATTGGTCGGCCCAAAGGAAGGTCAATATTTAGCCGAATACACGTGCACCTGTGGTGATAAACATGTGACGATTATTTGGTTTAATGTGTGATCAATAAATCGGTCCAAAGAAAGGTTTATTGATTGACACATTGTTTTATTCTCAATGTTTGATCACTACACCAAGAGTACCATTTACAAGTCAATATTTCTGTCCAAAGACTAGATATTGATGTTGTGCTAGGTATCTTATGATGGGCTCTACCACTATTTGAGATTATTATTATTTGCATATTAAGGATATCAATGTGACCTATTCGTAATAATTGTTTTCTAATTCAGTTTCGAGCTCTGCTGCTAATATCCCTACTAGCATCAACTCAATTCCAATTCTTAATGGCACAAGCTTAAAGGTATGGCAAGAGAATGTATTCATTATTCTCGGAGTCATGGACCTAGACCTTGCTTTACGGGTCGATCAACCTGCTACACTTACTGATAAGAGTATCTCTGATGACAAGAAGGAGATGGAAAAATGGGAACGATCGAATCGCATAAGTTTAGTGATCATGAAGCGTGCTATTCTAGAAGTATTTCGGAGCACTATGTTCGATAAGGTGACCACGGCTAAGGGTTTCCTTAAAAATCTTGAAAAGATATTTGCCAAGAATGAAAATGCTGAAACTAGTACACTTTTGGCAAACCTTACTTCAATGAGGTATAAAGAAAAAGATAAAACCAATTGATAAGGAAGCTGCGGGTATATCATCACAAAAGAAATATCAGAAGGAACAAACTGAAGGTGGTTGTTTCTTTTGTGGAGCTACAAGTTATAAGAAGAAGAATTGTACCAATTATCATGCGTGACGTGTGAAGAAAGGTATTCTTCTTCATTTGGTTTATTCTGAGATTAATATAACTAGGGTATCTAGACACACATGGTGGATAGATTCTGGTGCAACAACTCACATCAGTGTGTCTATGCAAGGTTGCCTGAGTTGCCAAAATTAAGTGATTGTAAAAGATACATCTATATTGGTGATGGCAAGACGGTGAAACTAGAGGCAATAGGAAAATTTAAATTATTGTTAAAGACTGGACTTTATTTGGATTTGATGAAATATTTATTGTGCCGTCTTTTAGATGGAATTTGATTTCTATTTCTATTTTAAACAAATCCAGTTATTCTTGTTCATTTGGAAATGGAAAATTTAGTTTGTTTCATGATTAAAAATTGGTTGGTTTCGGTTCTTTATCAGGTTACAATAATCTTTATTCAATTGATACAATTGCTTTTTTTTAATGAATCCTTGCATGTTAGTACTCAAGGTGTAAAGCGAAAATTAATCGACGAGAATTCTGCCTCGTTGTGGCACAAGAGATCACATCTCCAAAAGGAGAAGTGAGAGCCTTGTGTCTGACGAAATTCTCGATCCTCTTGACTCCACAGATTATGATTTGTGTGCTACGAAATATTTTCTTTCGATTTAAATCACCGCAAGTGTACGATTCGTTAACAAGTAATAAAGTGGATTAATTGAGTCCGAATATCGTCCCATAGAGATTGATTAGTTTAATTTTACCTAACTTGGCCTTAACCGAAACTGATTTGTCAAACGTGAATTGTAGTGACTTAAATTAACCTTACTTGGACTAAATATGCAAATATGTATGATTTGAATGAACTAAAATGCAAAGTGAATGTGTTGATTGTAAGTTGGTGTACTCAATGAATATAAAAGCGCATTAGGATCACGAATCCCCAAACAATGCTCAATTTAACCTTAATTCCACACTTTGACAACACCATGACATTTTAAAGAATCAATACTCCTAAATCTATCCAACATCTCTCTCAAGACGAATTGAACCTATTCTCATACACCACCAGCCTATATCTTTATGACGGATGCAAATATATGAGGATGCATGTAGTTTTGTGAGTACTTAGAGAGATTCACGCAAAGCATAAGGGTATATTTCTATCCCCTATCGGACCCTACGATGATTTATACCTTGTCGAATTTATTTCTCTTCTTTCGAATAGATGAAACAAACCACCAAAACTCACAAAATTACGGGCCCATAATCATGGAAGTAATTAAATGCATAT